TGGCTGTGGGTGGGGGAGGAGGGTGGGTGCACGACAGCGAGAAAGGCCTGCTTGCTTGCACGGTGGAGAGGAGCTGAGAGAGCTGTCCTGCACTGAAGAAGGGAGATATGTGCTCTCCACTTTGGGAGAGCCTTTCAGACTTTGCCTGCGTGCTTCCCGATCTTCATTCCTAGCTGTAGATTGTTGATCTTGATCCGAGTTGTACCTTATTACTTCCTTCATAAACCACTTAACCGTAAGTATTGTCTGTGAGTTCTTCGTGGCCATTGCAATGAATGTTAAACCCAGCAGAGAAGAAGAGAGTGTCGTGGGGAAGATGGCTGGTGTCAGAATTGGTAAAAAGGTTGGAGAGTGAAGGTATGTCTGATCTATACATCATAGGGATCAGCCTTGGGCTAATCTTGATTCTTATTATCTCACCTGAAGTTAGACATGTCCTGATGCTACTACTACCACCCTTTTACAACAACTCCATGCGTGTCAGAGTAGAACTGTTCTTCAATGTTTTCAGTGGCTGTGATCTCTTGGAATTAGATAGCCAGGCCTTTCTTCTGAAATGCATCTGAGTGAACTCAAACCTCTAAGCTTTTGGTTAGCACCAACCACATTAACCATTTGCGCCATCCGGGGGCTCCTATAAGCCCCATGGGTGCTTCTAACATGCAGCCAGGCTGAGGACATGTTATGGATACAATTGTGTCCCTCCAAGATATCTGTCAATTTAGCTAGGCCATATTTCCCAGTATTGCGTGACTGTCCACCATTTTGTCATCTGATGTGATTTTCCTATGTGTTGTAAATCCTATCTCTATGATGTTAATGAGATGTGATTAGTGGCAGTTATGTTAAAGAGGCAGGACTAAATCTACAAGATTAGATTGTGTCTTAAATCAATCTCTTTTGAAATAAAAAGAGAGAAGCGAGTAGAGCGACAAGGGGACCTCATACTACCAAGAAACAAGAGACAGGAGAATAGCACATCCTTTGTGCTGAGAAGCTCCTTGACCAGGGAAGATTGATGATAAGGACCTTCCCCCAGAGCTGACAAGAGAGAGAAAACCTTCCCCTGGAGGTGGCACACAGAATTCGGACTTCTAGACTGTGAGAGAATAAATTTCTCTTTGTTAAAGCCATCCATTTGTGGTCCTTCTGTTATAGCAGCACTAGATAACTAAGACAGAATTTGGTAACTGGTGTGGGGTGCTGCTCTAACAAATACTTAAAATGTGGATGTGGTTTTGAAAGCGTGAATGGGTAGAAGCTAGAAGAGTTTTAAAGTGCCTAGTAGTAAAAGCCGGGGTTGCCATGCAGAGACTGTTGGTGGAATTATGGATGTCAGACGATTCTGGTGAGGACTCCGAAGGAAGTGAGGCGAGCTGTTCAAATGGCGACATGCAGATGGTGAGAAGCAGCAGCAGAGAAGTGGTAGTAGCAGAACCAGGAGACTAGTGCGAGACAGTGCTGGAGCCAACATATGGAGTGAGAGAGCTGAGCGCCCTTGGCAGGAGGCTTCCTGGTGGAGTGGGGTGCCTCCGAGCATTTATTGGTGGAGCTAAAGAGCTTTGGAACACTTACCTCAGCAGGGCAGACGTGGGTGGAGAGGCCTGAGGGGCTTATAGGCCAAGGAACCAGGAAGCAGAAGCTGAAGAGACAAGGAACACAGGAAGCAGAGCTGCTTCAGTCTCAAAGGGTGGAGTCGCCACTCAGATGCACTAGGAGAATGGGGCCTCCCAAAGCTGAGGAAGCAGAGTTGCCATTGCAGTGGGCCGGGAAGGCTGAGCTGAAGCCCAGGGCTGAGGGGCTTCCACCCAGAATCTGGAGAGTTTGGCCAACACTCAGAGTCTGGAGGGCAGGGCCATTGTGTAAATGGTCTCAGAGAACAGAGGGTTATTTTCAAGGCTTGACGGCTAACGTAATGTGTTCTGCTGACTTCCTTGGTGCCTATTATCCTTTCTTTCCCTCCAATTTCTCTCATTTGTAGTGGAACTGTCTACCTTGAGCCGTTCCACCATTGTACTTTGGAAGCAGACAACTTGTATTCTAGATTTTACCTATGAAGAGGAATTTTTGGATTTTGGACTTGGAGTTGATTTAAGATATTTATCATGATATGATGGGGTGAATGTGTTTTACATGTGGCAAGGACGTGAATTTTGAGGGGCCAAAGGCTAGAATGTTATGAGTTGAATTGCATCCCCCCAAAATATCTGTCAACTTGGCTAGGCCATGATTTCCAGTATTGCATGATTGTCCACTATTTTGTCATCTGATGTGATTTTCTTATGTGTTCTAAATCCTGTCTCTATGATGTTAAGGAGATGGGATTAGTAGTAGTTATGTTAATGAGGCAGGAGTCAATCTACAAGATTAGATTGTATCTTGAGCTAATTTCTTTTGAGATATAAAAGAAGCAAGCAGAGAGAGAGGCGGACCTCATACCACCAAGAAACAAGAGCCAGGAGAATTGCACGTCCTTTGGACCCAAGGTCCCTGCACTGAGAAGCTCCTTGATCAGGGAAGATTGATAATGTGGACCTTCTGCCAGAGCTGACAGAGAGAGAAAGCCTTCCCCTGGAGCTGGCACCCTGAATTCGCACTTCTAGCCTCCTGGCCTGTGAGAGAATGAATTTCTTTTTCTTGAAGACATCCACTTGTGGTATTTCTGTTATAGCAGCACTAGATGACTAAGACAGGACCACTGAGCAGAAAAATGAAACTTTCACATGCAACACTGAGATTGGCCCCATTAGTTTGAATCATACGAAATTGCTGATATTCATTCCTTTTTGACATACCAAAGATGGATACTTCATATGATTTGAGCTAATACATCATCTGTGCTCCAGGGTAGAACTCAGGACTAGGCTAGGATGAGACAAGAGAGGCACTTGCAGTGGATGCAAAAGAGTCAGTAATCAAGACAAATATTTTAATGCAATACTTTACAAATCAGAACTAATGCAAAAAAAACCATGACGAACACAATATCAAAATTTCAAATAAAGACAGTATCCTACCCCACACTTGCAGGGCTGTCCCCACTCGCTCGGCCTATCCTAGCTCTGTGTCTCCGCGTCCCCATTTAGGAAATGGATACCAGCTTTGCCCTGATTGCCCAGAGGGTGGAAATGAGGATCGAATGAAATAATAGAAGTGTGAGCACTTTGGTAAACTAAAGAGCTCTAAGTGAAAAGCATCTTATATCACGTAAGCACAAAATGTGAGACTGTTGCATTGCCAACATCACCTTTAGATATCCCTAAATCTCTGATAAAGTACAAAACACACAATTTGGAAAATACTGTACAGTCTCTTTCTCAGTCCCACTCAGACACTTTTATCTCCAGGAACATGGATCTGGCAGTCTCTTCCCTTGAGTGCCAGAGGAAGTGGTCGACTTCCATTTAGGGACTTTGTCATTGAAGAAATGTAGGGTTTGCTTTTACGCTTCCAGCAGAGTGCGTATAATTGGATTGGAGTATTTAAACATGTGTTCAGAGTGGTTCCAATGTAGTTATATCAAGTTTGAATGTTCTACAAAGTGACAGCCAAGTATCCCATGGTGATTTATCGGACAGAGGTAATGGGGTTGGGGTCCTAGGAAAGTGTGACCCCACTCCTGGTGGCCTTCACAGGGCTTGATTTTCTATTAACTATTGTTCGTTGCTGTCAAGTTGGCTCTGACTCATGGCAACCCCATGTACAACAGAATGAAACACTAACTGGTCCTGCACCATTTTCACAATTGTTGGTGTCTCAGTTATGTAGTGCTGCTATAACAGAAATACCACAAATCAATGGCTTTAACAAAGAGAAATTCATTCTCTTATAGTCTAGGAGGCTACACGTCCAAATTCAGAGTGTCAGCTTTCTCTCTCTGTCACTTCTGGGGGAAGGTCCGTGTCACCAATCTTCCCCTGGTCTAAGAGTTTCTCAGCTCAGGGACCCTGGGGCCAAGGGATGTGCTCCCCTCTTGGTTCTTCATTCTTGGTGGCATGAGGTACCCCTGTTGTTCTTTTCGCTTCTCTCTTTTATATCTCAATAAAAATTGACTCAAGATACAACCTAATCTTGTTGATTGAGTCCTGCCTCATTAATATAACTGCCTCTAATCCTGCCTCATTAACATCATAGAGGTAGGATTTACAACACACAGCAAAATCACATCAGATGACAAAATAGTGAACAATTACACAATACTGGGAATCATGGTCTATCCAAGCTGACATACATTTTGGAGGACACAATTCAATCCATAACGTTCCATTCTTTGACATCCCAAAATTCAGGTCCTTGCCACATGTAAAACACATTCATCCCATCATATCATAGCAAAAGCCTTAAATCATCTCCAACATCCAAAAATCTCTTTTCATCTGTGAAATCTAGAATACAAGTTATCTGCTTCCAAAGTACAATGGTGGAACAGGCACAAGGTAGATATTTCCATAACAAATGGGAGAAATTGGAAGGAAAGGAGAGATAAAAGTTACCAAGCAAGTCAGCAGAACACATTACATTAGCTCTCATGGCCTTAAAATAATCCTCTGTTCTCTGAGACCATTTACACAATGACCCTGCCCTCGGGGCTACATGCTCCAGATTCTGGATGGAGGACCCACAGTCCTGGGCTTCGGCTCTGCCTTCCAGGTCCACTGGAATAGCAACTCTGCTCCCTTGGCTTTGGGTGGCCCCATTCTCCTAGTCCATCTGAGTGGTGGCCCTACCCCCTCAGCCCCAGCAGGCCTCATTCTTCTGCCCTTTGGGCATGGCAGCCCTGCCCCCTCAGCTTTGGGCAGCAGATCTGGCCCCATCCCCCTGGCACTCGTGAATGGCAGCCCCACGCTCCAGAACCAAGTTGGTGAAGATCTGACTCTTTGAAAGCTACGAGGTTGTGGTCCCACCCTTAGAAAATCCACAGGTCATGGCTCCACCCTTTGTGCCCCCAGAGGTCGTGGCCCTACCCTTTGAGATGAAGACAGCTCTGCTTCCTATGTTCTTTGTCTCTTTATCTTCTGCTTCCTGGTTCCTTGGCCTCTCAGCCCTTCGGGCCTCATGGCTTGCATCTGCCCTGCAGGGGCAAGTGTTCCAAAACTCTTTAGCGCCACATGAAGGCACCTCACTCTGCCAGTAAACTTCAGCTGGAAGGCACTCAGCTCTCTTGCTCTGTGGGTTGGCAAGCCTAGCTTCAACAATGAGTGCTCAGAGGCTCCCCACTCTGCCAGAAAGCCTCCTGCCAAAGGCACTCAGCTCTCTGGTTCTGTGGGTCAGCTCCAGTGCTATCTCATGCCGGTCTCCTGGCTGTTGCTATTTCTCTGCTGTGGCTTCTCTCAGTATGCACTATCTCCAGTGTAACAGCGCTCCTCATTTCCTGCTGAGTCCTCACTAGAACTGTCTTAAAACTCATTGCCATCGAGTCAATTCCGACTCACAGCAACCCTATAGGACAGAATAGAACTGCCCCAGAGGGTTTCCAAGGAGTGCCTGGTGAATTGAACTGCCAACCTTTGTGATTAGCAGCCTTAGCTCTTAACCTCTATGCCACCAGGGTTTCCAAGAATTGTCTTAGATAGTCATAATTCTGCCAATAGTCTCTCCAAGGCAATCTAGGAATTTACTGTTAGGCACTTTAAAATTCTTCCAGCCTCTATCCATTCACAGTTTCAAAACAGCTTCCACATTTTAGGCATTTGTCAGAGCAGTATGCCACTCTCAGTACCAAATTCTGTCTTAGTTATCTAGTGCTGCTGTAACAGAAATACCACAAGTGGATGGCTTTCACGAAGAGAAATTTATTCTCTCATAGTCTAGGAGGTTAGAAGTCCAAATTCAGGGTGCCAACTCCAGTAGAAAGCTTTCTTCGTCAGCTCTGGGGGAAGGTCCTTGTCATCAATTTTCCCCTGGTTTAGGAGCTTTTCAGCACAGGGACCCTGGGTCCAAAGAACGTGCTCTGCTCCTGACACTACTTTCTTGGTGGTATGAAGTCCCTCTGCCTCTGTTCTTGTCTCTCTTTTATATCTCAAAAGAGATTGGCTACAATCTAATTGTGTACGTTACGTCCTGCCATATTAACATAACTGCCTCTAATCCTGCCTCATTAGCATCAGAAAGGTAGGATTTACAACACATAGGAAAATCACATCAGATCACAATCACACAATACTGGGAATCATGGCCTGGCCAAGCTGACACGCATCTTTGGGGGACACAGTTCAATCCATAACAGTTGGCATGCTCAAGTCCATTGTTGTGGTCACTGTGTATTTTGAGTACCTTCCAACATAGGGCTCATCTTCTAGTACTATATCAGACAATATTCTGTTGAGATCCATAAGGTTTTCGTTGACTAACTTTCAGAAGTAGATCACCAGGGTTTTCTTCCTAGTCTTAGTCTGGAAACTCTGCTGAAACCTGCCCACCATGGGTGACCCTGCCGGTGTGTGAAATACCAGTGGCAGAGCTTCCAGCACTAAAGCAACATGCAGGCCACCAGTGTGACGAACTGATACCAGGTGGTCAGTAGCATCACTAAGGGGGTGCGGGGGGGGGTTGTTGACCACACCAGGTGACACGGTTAGAAGGGGTAACACCAAAAGGACTGTTTATAAATTCTGGGGGCAGTGTTTCAGCAGAACTTTATTATTTTTTAATAAAAATATCCCTGTAAAGACCAGATTTACTGGCCTAAAGAGGCTGGAGAAACCTCGAGAGTATGGTCCCCAGACACCCTTTTAGCTCAGTGGTGAAGTCACCTCCGAGGTTCACTGTTCAGCCTGGGAGTGGACAGCCCCGTAAAACCAAATGAGACTAACGAGGTTCAGGAGTCCAGTGACAAGGGCCAGAAGGCAGAAGGGGAGAGGGAAGCTGGTGATAGGGAACCCAAGGTTGAGTAAGGATATTGTTGATGTGTTGTGAGATTGTTAACCATTGTCATAGGGCAACATTTGTACTAACTCTTAAATGAGAAACTATTTTGTGCTGTAAGGCTTCATCTTAAGTGAGAATAACAGCACAATTGGAAGAGCGTAGTCAATGTCACTGAACTGTGTATGTAGAAATTTTTGAAACGGTATATCTTTGGCTATGTGTATTTTCACCAAAAAAAAAAAGGTTGAGAAGTTAGAGGGTTAATATGTTGTGGGGTTGTTAACCAATGTCATAAAACAACATGTGTACTACTGTTTCATGAGGAACTATTTGTTCTATAAGCCTTCACCTGAAGTACAATAAAATATAAAAAAATAAAAAATAAAATAAAATAAAAATATCCCTGTAGTTAGTGACAACAACAAAAAAGTTTTTGTAAACCCAGCTTACGTGTATCAATATACCTACAAGGCTAAAACTCTATACTAATTTACTATGTGACCCTTCTAACGTGCTCTGGTCAGAGCTGTCTTTATTACTCAACTACAATGATGCTTCAAATCAGGTAGTTTCAAATGGAAAACACAGAAAGGATCATTGAAGATTTGCTGACGTAAAACTTACCTAATGTCCTGAAAGATGAAAAGCCGACTATCCAAGAAGTTCAGTGAATCCCATATAGGATAGACCGCCCCCAAAAAACACCAAGGCATATCATAATCACATTTACTAAAACCAAAGACAAAGAATCCTGAGAGCACCTCAAGAAAGACAAAAAGTCACATACAAACGGGAAACAGTAAGACTAAGCTCTGATTACTCAGCAGCAACCATGCAGCCAAGAAGGCAATGGGATGACACATACAAAATCTTGAAAGAAAAAAACTGCCAACCAAGAATAATATATCCTGCAAAACTCTGGCTCAAATATGATGGCAAAATTGGAACATTTCCAGATAAACAGAAATTAAGGGAATACGTAAAAACCAAATTTATAAGAAATATTAAAGGAGTCCTTCGGTCAGAGAACAAACAACATCAGACAACAACCTGAATCTCGCACATAAGACAGTATCAGCCAGATACCAACCTAGATAACAAACTCTCAAGGATAAAATAAAACTAAAAGATTTACAACAGGGAACCAGAGACATCCATCTGTAAATGACAACTACATCAGAACAATAAAAGAGGGAATAAACGGTGCAGATAGAGAACTTTCCAATGGAGAGGAAGTCAAGGCTTTATCAAGTAATAAAGTACTGGTTTAAACTTAGGAAGATTGGGGGAAATTTCAAGGTAACTACAAGGAAGTTAACAAACCTACTCATCAAAATAAAGAAGAAAAACATAGTCTCAGTAAACACAAACTCTATAAAAAAGGATAGAAACAAAAACACCCCACAAACAAAAAGAATTCAGCCCAGGAGAGTAAGAGGAACAAAGAAAACGTCAGCACCACAAAAAAAAAGCACTACAAAATGACAGTAATAAACTCAAACCTATCAATAATCACACTGAAAGTAAATGGCTTAAATGCACCCATAAAGAGACAGAGAGTGACAGAATGAATTAAAAAACAGGACCCATCAATATGCTGTCTATGAGAGACACATCTCAGAGACAAAGATATAAATTTATTAAAAATCAAAGGATGGTCCATCAAATGGGGAAAAGAAAGAAAAATCAAAGGATGGAAAATACATATCAAGCAAACGGCTACCAAAAAAGAGCAGCAGTGGCAATACTAATCTCAGATAAAATAGAATTTAAAAAAAAATCCACCATAAAAGACAAAGAAGGGCTTTATATGATGATTAAAGGGACAATCCACCATTTAAGAAAAACATGTTGTTTCATATGCATGTGTTACAAGCACGAGCTGTTGTTTTCCTTGCTGTCAGTGTTTTTATAGTCACTGATTTTGCCAAACTTTCTGGTGTTTTAGCTATAATATTGTGGTAATTAGTATTTGTGAACGTATTCAATAACTTTTTTGAGAATAAAGTAGTAATTAAAGGAAAAGGAGTAATATACAGGAATTACGATTTATGAGTAATAATAGCATAAAAAAAATTACTGAGAGGTGGAGCCAACATGGTGCTATAGGCAGAAGCACTGCACTGTCCCTCCATAGCAAAGACCCAAAAAACTAAGTAAAACAGAGACAAACGTCTATCCTGGAACCCTAAGCATCAAATGAAGAGATAAAGAACTCAACCAAGCACTGAATGGAATAAGAAACTGAGAGTAAACAGAGAGTGAAGAGTGATATGGAGTGGAGGCCCCCATCAGCTAACGCAGCACGGGTTCGCCATCTTGGACTCCTCAGCCACCAAGAATGGCAGACAGGGAGTATAGGAAGACAGCTTCAAGGAGCTCCCGGCAGGAGACAGAGCACCCGGTAACCAGTGATACACGCTTTCCCACCACTCACCCTTCTTCCCCCTGCTCAGCTTCCACCACTTCCCAGCTGGCTGAGGTCACTCGGCCAGAGACGCGCTGGCTCTGTGCTGCTTGGACTCGCCCCGTCCACACGAACTGGCTCTTTCAGTGCCATTTTCTTATTGCTGTTGTCGCTTTTTTCAGCTTCTTTTGGTTTCTTCTCTCTCTCTCTCACCTCCTTCCCTTCCTTTCTCTTGAACACCTGGCTCTGTTTGCCATCTCCACTTCTTACTGACAGGCTATGAAGCGATGCGTGGCTGTGGAACTCCTTCCCCAGTCTGAGCGACCACTCCAGTGGGATCCCTGGGGGCATATTTTGTTTCTTTTTGTTTTTCTTCATTTCTTGGTTTCTTGTCACTCTCTACTTTCCTTCTTTTCCTGTCTCCTGAATACCTGGCACTGTGTGCCATATCCACCCTTTCTAGACAGGCTGTGCAGTGCCACGCAACTGGGGAGCCACTTCCTGAGTCCGAGCCACCACACAAGTGGGCTCCCTTGGGTATTTTTTTTTTTCTTTCTCGATTTCTTGTCTCTCCCAATCATCTTTCCCTTCTTTTCTCCTGAACACCTGGAGATGTGTGCTATCTCTGCACCTTCTAGACCGGCCGTGCAGTGCCACATGGCTGGGGAGTCAATTCCCTGGGCAGAGCCACCACACGAATGGGTTCTTTGGGGCATCTTTTATTTTTCTTTCTCTCTTCTTTTCTTGATTTCTTGTCTCTCTCTACATCGTTTCCTTAATCTTCTCCTGAACACCTGGCTCTGTGTGCCATCTTCACTCCTTCTAGAGGGGCTATGCAGTGCCGCTTGACTGGGGACCCACTTCTGGTGGGTTCCCTTGGGACGTTTTCTTTCTTTCTTTCTTTTTTTTTTCTTACAGTGTTTCTTGTCTCTCTCTACCTCCCTTCCTTTCCTTCCTCCCAACCACCTGGCATCTTTTTTTGTTCTTTCCTTTTTTCTCTGTTTCTTGTCTCTCTCTCCCTTCCTTCCTTTCCTTTCTC